ACATGGTGGGCGGCTGGCTTAGAACATCCTTGATTGCTTCTAGAGCCTGCTGTCATTCATGAGTCCATACAAACTTGCGATCTTTCTTGATGGCTTCGAAGAATGGTTTGCACTTGTCTGTCGACCTTGAAATGAATCGGCTCAATGTCGCTAGCTTTTCCATCAGGCTTTGGACCCCCCTGATTGAGGTTGGTGGCCTAAGATTTCGTATTGCTTCGATCTTTTCTGGGTTGGCATCAATGCCGCGTTGACTAACTATGTAGCCTAAGAACTTCTTAGATCCATCGCCGAAAGTACATTATTTTGGGTTTAATTTTAAGGAATAATCACGCAAAATAGAAAACATTTTATTTAAGATCGTTTACATGATTGGATGCATATACAGATTTGACGAGCATGTCATCCACGTAAACTTCCATACTCTCTCCTATTAGACTAGAGAACATTTTGTTGACTAGGCGCAGGTATGTGGCCCCGGCGTTTTTCAGCCCGAACGACATCATTTTGTAGCAGTAGAGGCCCCGTGCCGAGTGGAAAGATGTATGCTCCTCGTCGTCTGGGTGCATGGGGATCTGATTGTAACCTGAGTATGCATTAATGAAACTCATCAGTTCGTGCCCTGAGGTAGCATCAACCATGTAGCCTATGTGGGGGAGCGGGTAACTGTCCTTTGGGCATGCCTTGTTTAGGTCGAAAAAATCGATGCATAGGCGCCATGCCCCGCTGCTCTTCTTGACCAGCACATGGTTGGCTACCCAGGTCGGGTAGCGTACTTCGCGTTTATAGTCATTGTCCTTCAGCTTGACGACCTCCTCTTTGAGGGTCTGCTGCCGATCCGGCCCTAACTTCCTTCTTTTCTGGACGATCCGCCGAGCGGTTGGGTTGACTTGGAGCCTGTGGCAGGCGATTTTCGGATCGATGCCAACCATGTCCTCGTAGGTCCATGCAAAGACGTCAGCGTTATCCCTCAGGAATTGCACCAATCGGCCTTCATCGGCAGGGAGAGTCTGCTTCTAATTTTTAACTGCTTATGACACGTTTCTTCGTCGATGAAGATTACCTCGAACTCGTCCATCGGTTCGGCGCGTTTCATGCCCCTTCTCTCCTCGTACTGTGTTTTGGGGTCTAGCTCATCTTCTTCTCTCATCGGTTTCTTCCCGGTCCTTCTTCCTCGGCTGTGGATCTGCTCGACTTCCAGTTCTTCCTCGACCCCATCGGTCTCTTTGTATGTTGGGGGATAAAGACATCTTTGGTCGTCCATCATGCAGTTCTGCCCCTGGTCGGATGAGATGCAACTTTCGTCCTCGGTTCCCGCTTTGGCCAACCCATCCTTCGGGCCAGAGATGGCGTTGATTTCCTCATGGGGAATGGCGAGAATGCACTCTCGAGCTTCCCTTTCATTCCCGCGATGGACGCACTCCCCCTCTGAGGTGGGGAACCGGATGGAGTAGTGGAAGATCGAAACTGTCGCTCTGAGTTTATAGAGAGCAGTCCGCCCTAATACGGCATTGTACTCGCTTTCGCAATCGACGATCTTGAACACTTCCATAATCGTCCTCGTCGGTTGCCCACTTCCTTTGAATTTGATTGATAGGGTAATTTGGCCGAGAGGAAGCGTGGTTTTTCCGTTAAAACCCTGGATCCGGTCGTTACATGGTTGGACCTCTTTGATGTCAATTTTCATTTTCCTAAACGTACTTAGGTACATGATGCTCGCGTAAGCCCCTGTATTGACCATCATCTGGTGTACCTTAATGGTTTCGATTGGTGTTGTGATGACCAGGGCGTCCGAATGCGGATGGTCGAAGAGAAAAGCGTCCTCGTCACTGAAGGTGATCCAGTTCGCCGGATGTTCGGGCATTGGTCTATGGCTGGTGTGGAGGATTCGTTCCCCGGCATGCTGGGCTCGCCGCGCGTACGCTTTTGTTTTCATCCAGGACGGTACCGGGTCTCCCCGACTTGTGTTTATTCGCCGGGGGATCGGCTTGGGGTTGCTTCCTGGCGCAGCATGGGTCGCTCCCTCTTCCAGTCCCGAGACGTGCTCGCCTCTCTTTGGTGCACGAGATAGAACATCATGATTTCCTAATCGACGCCTAACGCCTGTTTCCTCCGGTGATCGCCGTCATCGTCCTCCTCACTGTCCATGGATTCAAACCGACCTCGCTTCTTCACGTCAGGATGGGTGTATTTTTTCATATGCGGTTCGTCGATCAAATTTAAGAGCGCTGAAAGCAGGTTCCTACATTGATCGGTGTTGTGGCCGTGCCCCTTATGATACGCGCAATACTTTGACTTATCAAGTTTGCTGGAGTCGGTGTAGATGGGCTTTGATTCGGGGATTAGGCCCTTGCCTTTAATTTCCTCGTATAAAGCGGCGGCCCCAACTGTGTAGATTCGCTGGAAGTTCTCTTTTAGCTCCTCCGTCTTCTGTTTTTTCTGTTCGAATCTCTCGGCATTGTCTTTACTCGATCTCTCGGGCTTCTCGGCCTTAATCTTCTGGTTCTCGGTTGCTCCATCCAGATCTGGAATGGACATGGATTCTTCTGCCGAGATATAGTTCTGGGCCAGCTTAAAAAACTCCTGGTACGTGGCCGGTTTGTTCTGGCAAAGCGACCATTTGAACAGCGTTCGTGGCTTGAGGTCGGGTTGGACGGACACGAGTAGGGTTTCAGGGTGACATTGTTCCATGTTCTACACTCGGTCGTTGAATCGGGCAAGATAATCCTTCAGGCCCTCGTCCTCGCTCTGGACTATGTTGGTGATGGATTCCTTGGGGGCAAGGTTGATTTGGGACTCGATAAAATGGGATCTGAACGCCATCTTCAGTTGGCTCAAGGTCGAAATGGAATGCGGGTATAGGGAGTGATACCAGCGTTGAGCTTTCACCCCCAATGTTAGTGAAAACATCCTACACCTTAAGGCATCAGTGGCCCCGTGTAGGTCCATCCACGAAGTGTAGAGGTCGATGTGGGAGTCCAGATCGGTGCTTCCGTCATAAAGACTGATTTGGGGGACCTTGATTTTTTGAGGCACAGGTCCCTGTAGGATGTACGGGGAGAGAGGAGAGACGTGGTCTACGACCCGCGGGCAAGGTTGCTCGTGAGGCGGAGAGGATGGCTTTCCTCGTACCTCTGGTTGAGCCTCCAACTCGGCAATCCTTCGTTTAAGGGTTGCGAGTTCGCTTTGATCGCGCCCGATGGTCTTTCCTCGTTCTATGACCCCCCCTAAGGTCGGGGCTGGCCTGCGTTTTCTCCCCCAGACGTCGGTACACCTATCTGCGGGCGTTTATCTTCGGACCTGGCCGACTTTCGCCGGTTTGTTCCGTGAGTGTCGGAATGGCGCCTTTCCGGCGAACGACAAGCGAGCGGTGGGGGGACTGGGCAGTGGTCTTCGAGTGTACCGGCCCCTTGCCTCGGTCCTCGGCGTCCTTCTGTGGGGTCTTCAGCAGGGTGTTCCCAGCGGGGACCTCAACGTTTTGGCCGGCATTCCCGCCGACGGTGGTTCCGAAGATGTTTCCCCCGGTGGCAACATGGCTAGCGAGTGCTTTTGCGAAGGCACCCTCTAACACTTTGAAGACGTCGGGGTGCTGCATTACAACGGTGAAGGTTTCCGGGGGAACTGGTGGCTCCAGTTGTTGTTGGAGCGGCGTTTCTTCACTATTGCGGCGACAGTTCTGCTCACCAGATTGATGAGTGGGCTCGTCGTGTCCGGATGGTGCCATTTTCATGGAGCAGTCGTATGGGAACTAAGATCGAGACAGTGGAGTTTTCAAACGAAAATTCGACACCAAGCAACTTATGGTGCCCTCCTTCTAGTGCCAAACTGTTGTCGGACGTTTCCGTACAACAAATTATGAATAATTAAACGAATGGGTTATATAAAAGGAGATCGGCTGGAGAGAAATTTTTATTAATTCTATTCAGCTCGGCCTTTGACCCTTCAGGTCGACACTTTGCTGTTTCAAATACAGGATTTTTGTAGAGAGAGAGAGAAAACATAAATATCTCTGAAATTAAATGGGTTCAACTCACTCCTCAATATGACATAAATGTGCTCTTTATACTACTCAATTGGACACTGTTGGTGCACTGTTCATGTCGTTCCGTCGTACAGTAAAATTGAATGACAGGCAATGTCAGACATTTAATGCGGTCAGAGCATTAGCCATGATGATCCCTGCTGCAATAAATGCTAGCATGGGATGCATTAAATGCTGTCAGACCTAAAGCTAGGCTTTTGCTTCTTTCGCATAACCGGCTCTCACGACAAGTCCCATCAACATATCATATGGAGTCAGCTATGACCTTGTTGACCGTTCTTTGACTGCAACGCCTTCCTGTTGGTGTTATATACTTAAGCTGTGCTTTAGTGGATATTTCACTTGTTATTCCTTGATGAATGAGAATTATGTTTGATT